ATGGCTGGTCTTGTGGACACGCGCCTGCTGGGACGACCAAAGAAGTACTCAGGCAACCGCGACGAGTTCCCGACCTTCAGATACCAGCTGATCAGCTACTTGGGTGCCATCGACCCGAGATTGGCACAAGCAGTCACGACAGCAGCTACCCACGGCAATGTCATTACGCTTTCAGAGATGGGTGACGATAACAAGCAGCTTGCAGCGACGATGGGATACATTCGATCACAGTTGCTTGGAGGCAGCGCGCTAACCTTGGTGATGAATTGTGAGCCAGGTAACGGCCTGGAGCAGTGGCGACGTCTTTGTCTACGCGAGGATGCGGCTACTGGCTCAAACAAGGCGGCGCAGCTGCAGCTTCTTGCGAACACAGAGTTTTCAGGCAAGTGGGAGACCTACGTCGAGGAGCTCACGAAGTTTCTACTGGACATCAACCGATATCAAGAGAAGTTTTCAGAGGTGATCTCAGACACCCTTGTCCAAGCCTTGATCAAGAAGAACACGCCCGAGCCGCTGAAGACTCAGGTGATGATGCAGACCTTCACGAACCACCAGATCCTACGGGAGACTTGCGAGGCCTTCGCTCAGCAGATGATGCAGCGCGACCCGAGGGTGACCAAGAAGAAGTTCGACCCGAACGCCATGGACGTGGACGCTTTCGACAAGGGCGGCAAGGGCGATTCCAAGGGCAAGGGCTTCGGCGGCAAGTCGGACCAGAAGGGCAGCGGTGGCAAGTCGAGCAGTCAAAGGAGTGCTTGGCAGAGCTCGGGCAACAAAGGTGGCAAGGGCGACGGCAAGAACAAGATGAAGAGCAAGAAGGGCGAGACGAAGCTCTTCGACGGATGGTGTTCGAATCCCCACTGCGGCAAGTACGGGCACAAGATCGCGGACTGCAGGAAGTACGGCGGCGGCGCTTACCAGCCTGGAGGAGGTCAGCGATCCGCATCTGAGGTTCAGCCAGGACTTCAACCAGCTCCAGGATCGGGCTCAGCAAGTACGGTCCATCCAGGAGATTCATCGCCACAGACACAAATACGTGGAGCTGGACGCGCACAGGCAGCAGTACTACCAGATGACGAAGGGGGTTGGATTTTTGCGTTTACGGACGACACTGACGGGGACGAATGCGAGATGCTCGTGGATAGTGGAGCTCACGCTCATGTTGTACCAAAGGCTATGACGGAGAAGTGCAAGCTCGCAGGCGAGCCAGGTCAGTCTCTGCGATCCATTACTGGTAAAGCTATTCGGACTTGGGATAAGCGGGCGTTGACGGGTGAGGTCTTCGATTCGAACACGTCGACCCCTGCAAAGCTAGACGTCACGCCAGCTGAAGTTCGTAGAGGTGCCCTTTCAGTTGCAGAGATGAATGATGCAGGTTATTCGGTGCACTTTGATCCTGACGGAGCTAAGATGTTCAAAAGCAACAAGAATGTGCAGCACGAGATAGGTAAAGCGATCGAGTCGACAGTGACTTTGCAGTTACGACGGAAGGTGAATGCGTTGCTTCTTCCCATGAGGTTCAAGGACCCGACAGGCTACGAGTCCATCATCGGCAATGTCGAGGACCACTCTGAGAAGGACGACGCGCAGATGAAGGAGGAGCCTGTCGAGACACAGCCTGTGGAGGTGCAGGCTGACAGTGGAGCGGCTAGTTCACGTGATGGCCCACGTGGCGTCGCAGAGGGAGTTCCAGATCAAACGGGGACGCCCGTCGCACCCGGGCTCAAGAGACCAGCTCGGATGTCAGGAGAACATGTCAGAGCGCACAGTCGGAGAGGTCACATTCCTTTCGAAGCTCGGTGTCAGGAGTGCATGATGGGGCGAGGGCAAGAAGACCCTCATCGCGCGAGAGATCCAAACGCATCGGCTACTCCAGTTATATCATTCGACTATGGGTTTCTCAGTCTTGGTGAAGATGGATCAGGTCGGCACCTTACCCCGGCAGTCGGCAAGGACAGAAGGACAGGCTACCTCATGGGAGTTGTCGTGGAAGCTAAAGGCAATCAGAGCTACGCTATAGCGGCCATCAGCGAGTACCTGGACGAGCTTGGCTACATGAGTATGGAAGTTCAGTTAGACGGAGAACCAGCACTGGAGGCACTCATGAATGGAGTGATTTCGGAGCGTATCAAGAAGCTCGGCAAGGAGGCAGCTGAAGCTCAACTTCGAGTACGGCTAGTTCCAAAAGGAAGCCACGCTTCTCAAGGTGGAGTTGAGAGTGGAGTCAAGTCGGTCGCAGGTCTTGCGAGGACTGGGCGTTTGGCTCTGGAGAAGCGTTACAACATGAAGTTAACTGAGGATGTTCCTATCATACCTTTGATGATTCGGCATCAGATATTCTGCCACAACAGGTACCAGCGGACAAGGAGCAGCGGTCGCACATCTTTCGAGGAGCTCAGGTTGGCACCGCACACTTCACCCATGCTGGAGTTCGGAGAGACAGTGATCGGCAAGGAGCACACGGAGCTGCAGGACAAGCTGGGTACAGCCTGGTGCAAGGGACTGTGGCTCGGACGCAGTTCGAAGAGTGATGCTCATCTTATCGGCACGGCGACGGGGGTAGTTCAGGCCAGGACAGTGAAGCAGCTGACGACGGAGGAGAGCTTCGACATGGAGATGCTCAAAGCCATGCGTTGGACGCCTTGGAGGACCTCGGTTAGAGCTGGAGTCTACGAGGGCGAGAATTGGCAGCCGACGGAAGGATGCCCTGGGCGTGAGTATGCAGCTAAAGGTCAGCACGGACGAGGACGGCCACCACACCACAGCAGGACATGCCAGCAGCGTCGGGCCGAGTACGAGAAGTCAATCGCCAGCAAGGACGACGAGCAGCCGAAGGTGGTCGCGGTTCCCGCACCTACGGCCAGCTCGGAGGCTAACAACGGCGAGCAGCAAGCACAGCGACCAGCAGGGCCAGAGCCAGCACAAGGTCAAGATCCAGTTGAAGCAGTTCGTCGGGAGGTGCAGAAGATCGAGAAGAGGCTTCGTGGCAAGCAGGGAGTACCAGCTCCAGGGGCACCCGCTAAGCGAGGAGCTGCTGACGCTGACCTCGGTGAAGGCGGCCCTGGAGGCCCACCTGGAAATCGAGGCCTGGCGGGGGTCATCGAGAGCTTGAGTACTGGCGACCTCAAGAGGCTCGTGGCGGGCTTCAGCACGGAGGAGATGACGAGGCTCGCGGGCGAGGTCGACAAGGAGCTGAAGGACGACAGCGAGCTCAGCATCGTGATGGGCTGGACCGAGGACGACGAGTGAGAGGCGAAGCAGTGCGAGCTAGATCGGTTCGACAACTACGACGTGCGGGAGCTCACGCTGAGGGACCCTCACGGGCCTAAGGCACTCACGTGGACTTGGGTTTTGGAGATGAGGAGTGGCGAGCTCAAGGCGAGGCTTTGTGCGCGACCATTCGGCAAGCAGGTCAACAAGAGCAAGAATGAGCTGTACTGCCCTACTCCACTTTCGTTCTCACTCAAGCTGCTCATGGTCTACGCTATCGTTAAGGATTTTGCCATCTTCTTATTCGACATATCTCGAGCGTTTCTGCACACGCCGATTCGGGAGTTGGTGTGCGCAGAGGTTCCGAAGGAGTACTGCCATCTTCCCGACAGTTCGGATTGGGTTTTCAAGCTCAATAAGACCGTCTACGGACTTAACGAGGCGATGATCGGTTTCGACGACCACTTTGAGAACATCGCTACAGGACGGAGTGATGAATCTAAGATGACTTTCAAGAGGTTTCTTTCTGACCCGTGTACGTTTGCAGACAAGGCTAATCAAATTGCTATGTCCAAGCATGTTGACGATGGCACGCTGGTGGGACCCAGAGTTTCAGCCAGCGAAGCGTTGGAGGAGCTCGGCACACACTTTCTACTCAAGGTTTCTGAGCTCACAGTTGGTGGTCCTGAGATCAAGCACCTTGGACGTGGCTGGCTCCGCACCCCCGAAGGTATTCAAGTTCGCATGTGGCCTGCTATTGTCAAGAAGCTACTCGACTCTGAGCCCAATGATAAGAAGACGAGCCCAATACCAGGAGTCAAGAACGAGAAGAAGGTCGAGAGCGAGGAGGAGTTGGATTCCAACGCGGCCACAAAGTTCAGGAGCGTCAACGGCCTCAACATGAACGTTTGCTTGGAGAGGCCCGAGTGTCAGTACGCAGCGAAGGAGTGTTCGAGGGGGATGTCACGACCGACGGTGCAGGACCAGACGAGGCTCACGCGCATCATCAGGTTCATTCGAGCTCACCCATCTTCAGTCACGCGCATGTATCCAGACAGCGGCGAGTTCAAGGTTATCGGACGTGCAGACTCTAATTGGGCAGAGGATCCTATCGGGAGGAAGTCTACAAGTTGTGGTCAGTTGTTTCTCAATGGAGCTTTGATCATGCAGTTCGTCAAGACTCAGGGGGCACCAGCACTCTCGTCGCCCGAAGCTGAGTTTAACGCACTCGTGCATGTCGGGATTGAGGCGAGAGGAGCACAGACTTATCTCAAGGAGCTCTTGGACGAAACTGTACCAGTGACGCTGGAGAGTGACAACTCCAGCGCTCTCACGAACGTCGAGAAAAAGGGAGTTGGCAGGATGAGGCACATCGAGTTGAAGGATCTGTGGATCAAGGACCTAGTCGCGCGCAAGGCTGAGACGAAGGTCAGCACGAGCAAAGTTCACACCGACGAGAACACCGCAGTCTTGGGACGAAACATCTTTCGAGGGTCGATTTCATGAAGCACCTAACGGCGATGAAGGTTTGGCTCACTGGGAAAGGTGAGGTTGGTGGAATTTCGGGTTCAAGCAACGAGAAGAAGGCCCAGATCGGTAAGCCGGCGCTGGAGCTGATGGGAGCACTTACTCAATGCTTGGTGGGTCTTGGCACGTTTCTTCAATTTGGACGTGCGGACGCTACTGAGTTGGTGGAGAAGGAGTTTCAGCCAGTCGCGATCTCAAGCCCTGCAGATGATGAGAGCCATTTTGGCGTTTCCACAACGGTCGTGATGATGATGCTCACCCTTTTGAGTGTTATCGCAACGAGTGCAGTCTTCAAAGTCAAGCAGCACATCGACCGTATCACGCAGCCAGCACAGAAAGATGCCTCAATTCAGTACAGCCTGAAGGACACGATGAAGAATGGAGCTACGAGCAAGATCGTGGTCAATGATCTTCGGGCTATGTTCACAGCTATGACTATAGACAGTGGACGGGAGTTTCTAGAACTACGGCGAGTGGATCGGGCCGTCTCGACATATACAAAGGCGATGGTGGTCGAAGCTTGCGTGGCGACCGCCCTCAACGAGATAAGGCAGGACAAGATCTACAGTGTTGATGGGTTTGTCGGGATTTGGCACCCTCACTCGCTGGCTATGATTCGATATTGATATGTTTCCAGAATGCGTGCCCGATCTTGGCATGAAGCTGCAGATGGGCCCGAGGAGGAGTGCAGGAAACAAGGTATATATCAGTGATTTGAGTGAGGATTGTTGTGCATGCGCTGTTGTGACATTTGTGTACTGTGGAGAGCCAGTTTTGGCTCAGTTCATGCTGAGGTGGAAAAGGATTTCACCAGCCCTGTCGGGCAAGGTCCGTGGACCCCAGCTCCGCTACTTAAGTTATCAAGATAACATTTCAATACTTGCACACACAAATAAAATAATTCCCAATATTTTCCAATATTTTCTGGGTTTTTGTCTTCCCGCCCAATTCCCATATTTTCCAATATTTTCTGGAGGATCGACGATTAATTGTGTCTGTGTGTTTGTTCCCTCCTGACCTACCCTGGGTTACAAGTGCGTGGTCTGTAAACCTCCTGGGAACCCCCCAACGCCTAGAGCCGCCGATACGCGGCACATCACGCAGGGTTCACCCCGTCAGCGCACAGGAGTTTCAGCGCACTGCGCCTCGTAAACCAGGGCAGGGGCGTTTTGTTCTGCCCTTGATGTGTTGATGGCAGCACTTGCTCCTCGAACTGAGCCCGAGCCCCCTGGCGTCAGGTCGGGCATGTCCTCCTGCAGGGGATTGGGGGCGAGAAATAGAAAATACCCCCACGAGACGCCAAACAAATGCAAAAAAATGTCAAACAATTTTCCCCAGACTAGTTTTTTTTTTCTATATATAAAAAAAAAAAAAAAAAAAAAAAAAAAAAAAAAAAAAAAAAAAAAAAAAAAAAAAAACATTCACCCCGCAGGCCCGACGTACGCCTGGCGACCTGCGTCCGTCTGCGCGGCGCAGCTCGCCGATGCATCGCTGGCGCACGGGCAAACGTCGCCTATATTTTCCGGGGCGTCGACGATGAATTGTGCCTGTGTTTTTCCCCGTCCCGACACCTGCTCCTCGCACGGAGCCCGAGCCCCCTGGCGACCCGCGTCCGTCTGCGCGGCGCAGCTCGCCGATGCATCGCCGATTGGCGGCGCGCACAAGGGGGTAGGGGGAGGGGGGAAGGCTTCTTAGAAGGAGGCTGCTTCGTAGAAGGCGCGGGCCTTACATCTACAGACAAGGCGGGCGCCTTCTAAGAAGCGGGGGTGCTTCTAAGAAGCCTTCCCCCCTCCCCCTACCCCCCTTTTCGGGTGTTGCTAGAAGTGCCCCTGGCCCAAGGTACCCTCAGCTATTCCCTCCATTCTGGAGCCCCTGGGACCCTCCGGGCCTCGTGAGGGGTGCCCTGGAGGCCGCCTGGGCCACCCCGAGAACACTGGGGGTACCTTGGGCCAGGGGTACTTCTAGCAACACCCGACCTTGGCGCGCTGCCGAGCCGAGGCACGGGCATGCGTCGCCGAGGAGAAGAGCTGGGGCCCCGCGTCGCGCCGGCAGCGCCGCTGCACTGCCGACGGGGCGCGTGCCTCCGAGCCCCTCTGCTCGGACCCCATTGAAGGGGCCCTGGGACACACAAATAAATACACACAAATAAAGGATTCCCCATATTTTCCCATATGTTTTGGGTTTTGTCTTCCCCCCCACTTCCCATAGTTCCCCATACTTTCGCAGGAATCGACGATGAATTGTGTCTGTGTGCTTTTGCCCCTCCTGACCCATCTGGGACGCTCAGACTGCACGGGTGGCGACGTCCGACCCCCATGCCACCACCAAGCATCGATTCTCCTGGACAGATGGAGGAGGGAGGAGGAGGAGGAGGAGGAGGGGGAGGAGGAGGAGGGGGAGGAGGAGGAGCAGGAGAGGAGGAGGAGGAGGAGCAGGAGGAGGAGGAGGAGCAGGAGAGGAGGAGGAGGGAGGAGGAGGAGGAGGAGGTTGAGGAGGAGGAGGAGGAGGAGGAGGAGGAGGAGGAGGAGGAGGTTGAGGAGGAGGAGGAGGAGGAGGAGAAGGAAGAGCAGGAGGAGGAGGAGGGTTCGCACGTCGCCGCCGATTGTAATGGCCAGCTCGGTTGCCAGAGGGTCAAAAACTTCGTGGGGCTCCGAGGCAGCGGGGGGCATCATAGGGAAGCCCAGATTCGCGAAAAAGAATACTGGGCCGGCGCTTCCCTCACCGACGACTCCTGGGCCCAAGCGCAGCTGAAACTGAACAAGGGCGGCTTGGGGCTGCGCTCCGCTGAGAAGCACTCGCCGGCGGCCTACTTGTCCTCGCGCGCCAAGAGCAGCGAGTTCTGCCGGTCCATGTACGCGGGCTACACAGACGACGACGCGGGCGACGCCGGGGCCCTGGCGGCGGCGCTCCAGACCCACAACGCAAGTGTGGCGGGGGCAAACCAGGCTGCGCGCTTCGACTGCGAGACGCACTCCAACCAGAAGACTCTCTCGGACCAGGTCGACGACGCCGCGCGCGCCGCCCTCTGGGGCCGCTCCTCGGCCGCGACGCGCGCCCACCTCGCCCTGGTGGCCGCGCCCGGCGCCAGCGCGCACCTGCAGGCGCCCCCCAGCGAGGCGCTCGGCACAGCGGTCCCGCACAGCTTGATGCAGATCGGGATCAAGCGACGGCTCCGGGTCCAGCTGATGGACGAGGAAGCGTTCTGCCCAGCGTGCGGGGAAGTCATGGACGTGTACTGCGACCACGCCTTGACGTGCGCCTGCCAGGGCGACCGCACGCGCCGCCACAACAAGCTGCGGAACGGCACCTTCTTTGCCGCCCAGGCCGCTGGCTTCTCGGGGGCGGAGCTGGAGCGGCCCGGACTGCTGCCGCCGCGGGCGCCGGGCGAGGGGCCGAACGCCGAGGAGCCCGACGGCGACGGACTAGACAACGACGGCCGCCGGCCAGCGGATGTCTATGTCCCCCGGTGGCGCGGCGGGCTCTCGGCGGCCTTGGACTTCGCGGTGACGTCCGGCCTGCGCGCGGACCTCATCGCGCGCTCCGCCGCTGACCCGGCCGCCGCCCTCGACAGGTACGAGGAGTACAAGCGGCAGCACCAGGGCACGGCGCAGGCTTGCCGCGACGCGGACCTCGCCTTCATCCCAATGGTGGTGGAGGCGCACGGCGGGAGCTGGGGCGGCGAGGCGCGGCGCGCCTTCGCCGTGCTGGCTAAGCGCGCGGCTGACGCGCGCGGCGAGGAGGCCGCCAGCACGGCGGACAGGATGGCCCAGCGACTCTCCATCTCCCTGCACAGGGAGAACGCGCGGGCCATCCTGCAGCGCCTGCAGCGCCCGCGGCCCGGGGCGACCCCGGCACGCCTGGCGGCGGCGGCTGCAGTGGAGGCGGCGGCGGCGGCGGCCGTCGCGTGAGGCGCAAGGGCGGGCGGCGGGCGCCGAGGGCGACGAGGCGAGGGAGGGCGACCAAGAGGAGGAGGGGTAAGAGGGGGAGGAGGAGCAGCAGGAGAACAACGACGACGCCATGCGGATGCAGCGGAGAGGCGCTGAGGAAGCCCCGCGGAGGGCGGCGACCAGGAGGAGGAGGAGGAGGAGGAGGAGGAGGAGGAGGAGGAGGAGGAGGAGGAGGAGGAGGAGCAGCGGCTGGAGAGCGACGACGAGACCACGAGGAGGCAGCAGGGAGGCTGCGGGAGCCCAAAGGAGGCTGTCAGGACGACGGCCAGGAGGCAACGCACGACGAGCGTCGAGGAGGAGGAGGAGGGGAGGAAGACGAGGACGAGGACGAGCCGGTGGCCGGCGGCAGCAGGCCAGGAGGAGACCGCAGAGGCCCCCTGCCCGTCCAGAGAGGAAGGAGGAGCCCGCCGAGGAGGAAGAGGAGGCGCCGCGCCAGAAGCCGCCGCAGACGGAGAAGGCCCTGGAGCCGGCCGCTGAGGAGGAGGAGGAGGAGGGGGAGGAGGAAATGGAGCCTGTCAAGAAGTTCCTGGAGGACCCCGAGGCGTGCGCTGCGGCGAACCCGGCGGCTGCAGCGCCGGCGGCGGGCGGCGGCGGGCGGCGGCGAGAAGAAGGAGGAGAGGAAGGCCGCGGCCGTGGAGGAGGAGGACGAGGACGTGGTCTTCGACCTTTTCGGCTGAGCGCACCGCGGCGGCGGCGAGCGCGTCTGAGAGGCCAGTTATTGAAGGAGCGGGGAAGGGATCAGAGGGAAGAGGTTTTCGACTCAACTACGACGTTGCTGAATCTCGCTGTGGCTGAGTTGCTTGAGGAGACGGGCGTTCCAGGGCCAGGCGAAGAAAACCAAGAGGGGTGAAAAAGGAAAATTAGCCTGGCGAAGGACCCAACCATATGCAGTTGAGAGTACCGCAATTGTGAATATCTTCTTCGGTGGCGCTCCCTATGGGGCCACGAGCCGTATGAGGGGTGTGCCGAAATGCGTGGCAGTGTACACAACACGAACGAAGACGATAGGTCCGAATATGAAAGCTTGAGCGCGTGCGAGTCGGATCGCGAGCGAGTCTGATTATGAATGAATCTGCGCGCGATTGATTCTATTCGCATGAATGCGTGCATGGATACGCCCAGTGTAAATGTATGTATACGACTGTGAACAGTTTGGGTCTGCGTGACTCTCGGTACTCGTGACTCTGAGCGTCGCCTCTGCAGGGGGCTTCCCTGGGAACCCCGACGGCAGCGCCCGCGCGCCGCGACGCCCATGTCGGCACGCCACACACCTGGTGTGCGGGACGCATGCGGACGGCAGCACTGGGGCCTTCGGTGGAGCTCCCTGTGGGGCCACGAAACGTGTGAGGGGTGTGCCGAAATGGGTGTGCGGGACGCATGCGGACGGCAGCCATGGGGCCTTCGGTGGAGCTCCCTATGGGGCCACGAAACGTGTGAGGGGTGTGCCGAAATGGGTGTGCGGGACGCATGCGGACGGCAGCACTGGGGCCTTCGGTGGAGCTCCCTGTGGGGCCACGAAACGTGTGAGGGGTGTGCCGAAATGGGTGTGCGGGACGCATGCGGACGGCAGCCATGGGGCCTTCGGTGGAGCTCCCTATGCCACGAAACGTGTGAGGGGTGTGCCGAAATGGGTGTGCGGGACGCATGCGGACGGCAGCACTGGGGCCTTCGGTGGAGCT